AGATCCATTCACAAAGTGCAACTTCCCTAAGGCACCTGAAAGCTCAGCACAACCTCTGCCCACTGGGACTCTGCAGTGTGAGGAAATGCACCTACCAAGGCTTGTGAGAGAAACAAGAATTTAAGTGCCGAGAAACGTGCTCCAGACCCAAGGCAGTGCAGGAGGCTGGTGCAGGCACTGGCACAGGAAACCAGGAACCAGGAGCACAAGCACCTGAGGGGATATGCAATCAGAGCAGGCTTTTTTTCTTACCAGAGTATGGATTGCTGCTCAGGCTGCCATCTCTTCCAGTCAGTGGGGTGGGGGGGGTAGGGAAGATGCTGTAGTAATCCTGAAGGACAAAAACCAAAGAAGTTTGATGAGCTCAGTCCCAAGATGCAAAGCAGGAGCTTTTGGAAAAGAGGAATTCCTGGACCGCAGCCACTAAGTATGTTGGAGTATTGCAGTTCAATCAGCCACAGGGAAGCTGATCACAGCCTACAGCAACCCCAGCTTCTTTCTAGCATGCACCATCCCCCTCATCTGGCTATTAGAAGAACCAGATAAGGTCTACTGGTATGCAAGTCCTGCAAGTGCCTGGACTTTCCCCTCCACAGCACGAGGGACACATGTGGTATTACTTGATAAAACCCATTCTCATTATTTAGTCACTGCCTCTTTCAAGGCTCAGAGGGAAGTCTCTACAACAGCTCATTGCACCACTGGCAGGCGGAATGGAGTGCTCTGGCTCTCCCTTCCCAAGTCCCACCAGCAATGTGACCAGCCGGTGCTCCTAACTCCCCAAATGCAAAGGAGCAGCTGAGTAACTCCTCACTACTGCATAGGGGCATCCAGGCAGCACTCCTTTGTCAGCTCCTCACAGCCTGACCTGTCTGCACACCCAAAGCACCAGCACCAGTGGAAGCAGCATGTCCCTGTACTCACCAATGGGAATCTTGTCTGGAGCATTTGCAGATCATCATATCCATACACCTGTGGCTAGAAAAAGAACGGGAGACGACTTTAGGGACACAGACTAGATAAAGCCACTTACCTCATTTTAGATTAAGCATTTAGATAAATGTGAGAGAAAGGCAGAAGCAGATGAGCAGAGGCTACACAATCACCCAGGTGCAGTCAGCCAGCATTCACCACCACCAGACTGACACTGCCAAGAGCCCTTTTATGTGCTGCTCAAATGAGGAGTGAGCACCAACACCCAGCACGCTGCTCCAGACCACAAATGCACTGACAATGTTCTTCTAGAGATTATTCCAACACCAAAACCTGTCCTTATCTCCAGAAAAGGGTTGTGATTTTGTGGCAGTCGCCACCCTTGTTCTGAAAGCATGGCCTTTGTATACCATGCTGCTAATACAGCTCCGCACCCTCACCAGCTGTGCTCTGACAAGGGCTGTTGCTCCCCAAAGGATGGGGAGGCTGTAGAGAACAGGCAGACAGAATCTGCTCGGGGGTGACCAGAATTACAGACATTTACCCCCATGGGTACATGGATTTCCTCTGTTATTATGGAAAACATGCAAGAAAACAGCAGTTTTCATGGAAAACAGCAGGTCCAGACTCTTCTCATCCAAGGCAGTCCTCCTGTGCTGATGCTTTTGTTTCTCTACTATACTACATCCTTCCCTGCTAGCTGAAGACAGAGCTAGGAGGGCTCTAATGGCATGTCACGACTGCAAAGAAGTGGCTGTCCCACTCACCGGATAGGCATGTAGCAACCCTGGAGCCATGATGTACGGATTAGGCAACAACGGTGGGACTCCAGGAGGGAGATTGGGAGGGGCTTTTCCTGGAAAAAGGAAGAGGAAGTTCCACAGTGAAGCGACCAGCAGAAGCTGCCTCTCTTTGCCTCTATCCCCTCCTCCTGTTCAGCAGTACCCAGGAAAATACCTGATGTTGTTGCAACGGAGCTGCGAGTCGAGGCCGTCACTGTGGAGTTACTACTGAGGCTGAGGCCCAGGCTGCTGACACTACTGAGGCTGGAGGAAACGCTTACGACTGGTGGGGCAGCTGACACTGTGCTGGAGGAGGTGGAGAAAGTGCTAGCAGAAGAATGGAGGCTTGCTTCACTCTCCACACTTGTGTGCTGGGGAAGGAAGGCAGAAGAGTCAGGGGAGCCGGCAGCTGGAATGGAGTGCAGAAACACTGCAGGACACTGCCTGCACCCGGCCATTCCGAGAACCTGAAATGAACTTGGCTGCTGCAGGCTACAAAGAAACCTGCTTTGCATCTGGCTTAAGTCCAAAGTCCTGACAGCAGCCAACCCCTAATGCTTCCAAGCCTCGTATGTGGCTGTGTCCCAACATGTCTGTCTGCTGGAGAAGCAGGGCTGAGCACCGCATCTGCGGCAGGAGGCTGACCCTGCTGCAGAAGCCAGTGCCCGGGGACTCTGCACTGGAGCAGGAGCTCCAGCAGAACATACATCTGAACAGTGGCACTGCAGCAGCTGCCAGTTTACTCTGACATCTGGTTGTAACATTCAAGAGCTGCTACAGGCTCAGAAGCAGCTGATGCTATGCCTGAAACAGGCAGGGTGTCAAAAGCCTCGCGACAGGGACGGCGTTCTGACCCTACCCCTGCCCTCTCCACACAACATCCAAACTCCAGCAGAACAAGCAGCAGCCTGGCAGCTCCTGTCACAACTGCAGACCTGCCAACGGGGGTACCCAGCACTCGACCACACCCAGACTCACCAGAAGAGTTGACGTTGATGTTCGCCCAGAGGAGGTGGATGAGGACAGACTGTTCTGCTGGGTGGGTAACGTACTGCGGAAGGAGGAATAAAGGTTGTCAAACCAAAGGATGAGAGTCACCACTGGCAGCACCAGCCCAGATCCCATACCCCAGCTACCTAGATGGGATGATTCATGTCAGTCTTCCCCACTGCACGACACAGACTGTGTTATGTGCTCTAGATCCCTGCTTCTAGTTCTGCTCCTCCAGAAACCCACCTGCCATACTTGCTCACCTGCTAAGCTGGGCACTGGTCGTACTGGGGAGCTCCTCACTGTGGCTCAGGCTGCTCAGAGCTGTTGAGTGTTGGCTGGCTGTTGTCAGCAAGGATGATGCAGATACCCCATCGTTGAGAGGCGTGATGCTGGGAGCAGAAGGGGAATCTGATTTCACTGCGGGGCCTGTAGCACCTGCCAACAAAAGCTTTGCATTAGCAGCAGCTCCTGGAGGGCAATGCAGTGGTAAGGATCAGCAAAGGCTCAGCTAGCAGAGCAGGGAGATCTGGGGCTTCCCTCACTGCTGCCAGCTAGTTACACCCTTGTGACTGTGTTCTACTTCTCACTTTACTCCAGCACTGCCATCAGCTCTGCAAAGAGCCTGAAGACCTTTACATGAGGTCCCTTTCACAAAGAGGAAATCATTGTCACCAGGGAGTGACTCATCAAGGATCTCAGGGATCCATCAGCTGAAGGATTAACATCTCAAGGCAAAGAAATAATCCAAGTGGCAGCAACTAGTCCAGCAGGGAAAGGACTTGCTGTGAGCACAGATAAAGCTTTTCTTCCAAAGCAAAGAATATGAGCAGTACAAAAGACTCGGGACACCCGTAGCACTGAGAGACTCTTACCTTCAACAGCCTGTGTGGTTTGTAACGGCGTGGGTTGTACAGAACTGAAACCATTCTGAGGAAGAAGAGAAAAAGAGTATTGGGCATTGAAGCTCCTTTTCCAGAGGCAGATCTAGTGCCAGCTCCCCCCCCCACTCCCTCATCTCCAGCATTTCACCACACTCTGTGGGGTCTGCCCAAGCTCAACCAGTCCAGTGCCAGCATCACCCCCAAGTGCCTATTTGAGCAAGCAGGGCAAGAAGTTCCTCTGCTGCTGGCAGTCAGGTTGGCTCAACATCCCCAAACCAGCACTGCTGCTACTGAACATGTGTGCAGCGTGCAAGCACTGAATCCTCAAGACAAAACTAAATCCTAAGCCTGAATGCCACTCTGCACGAGGTAATTATGCATGACAGGACACACTATCAACTTAACCACTGTTAACCCCACTGGCCCAGCCCCAGGGAAGTACCATAACTAAGGACTCTGGTAGCAGCTAGAAGAAAACGCTCACAAGCCACGTGGTGAGACTTGGAGGACCACAGAAACACTTGATACACCACTTAGCTTACCCCAAACCAGAGCTTTACACACTGTGCTCACTCAGCACAAAAGGTGAGCAAAGCTCTTTTCCTACCTTAGCCTGGGGCAGATCTTTCTGGGGCGAGGAGGAGATGGAATTTGGGTATCGCCTCGTCTGGGTGGATCTCTGTTCATACAGTGGTCCCTGAGCACTGTTCTGGGAGGTAAATGTTGCTGTCTGTATTGTGCTGCTCTGGTAACCAGACTCTTGGCTTTGATTGGATGAAACTGTGGATGAAGATTCACTGCTAAGGAAGAAAGCAAACAAAAAGAGTTAATGTTTTCCTCCAGCACAGCCCTGCTGGAAGCTGCTCACCCTGGAGACTTCATCTCAACCTTCAAAATGAAGAGCCCCAAGCATCAGCATAAAGGTACCACACAAAGCAGCCAAGCAGTGAAACATACCCAGGCAAGGGCTACAGGAGGATGGTGGCACCTTGCTGCAGCTCTCCCTCACACGCTGCTGTGCTCTGGGTGACATTTCATGAGCAGCACTCAAGGGACCCGCCAGATACTAAGGATCAGCCCAAGAGAGGACTTTGCTTTGGTAAAGTATCACCATCGTAGCTACACCTACTTCACTGTGTCATTGAACGTAGGATCATAGAATCCCAGAATGGTTTGGGTTGGAAAGGACCTGAAGATCATCCAGTTCCAACCCCCTGCCACGGGCAGGGACGCCTCACACTAGACCATGTCACCCAAGGCTCTGTGTCCAACCTGGCCTTGAACACTGCCAGGGATGGGGCATTTATCACTTCTCTGGGCACCCTGTGCCAGCGCCTCAGCACCCTCACAGGGAAGAGCTTCTTCCTTATCTCCAACGTGAACTTCCCCTGTTTCAGTTTGAACCCATCACCCCTTGTCCTATTGCTACAATCCCCTGGTTTGCCAGGCAAAAAGCAGGACAAAAGTAGGAATCTGTCCTTCGGGGACAAGGAACAGTTGCACTGGGGATTCTTCTCCTGTGTTTCCAGCACCACAGTTAACTGCAGCAGGAAACATCTGCTTTATGTCCAAGTACCACAGGCCAACCAGGCAGAGAGCTGCCTGAATGAGTCTGCTGGCAACTTAAGCTTTGCTTTTGCATACCTTGTCCCCCCTTTGTGACCACGGTACGGTCAGAAAGGGTCTACTAGTATGCAGCACAGCTGAAGTCCACGGGACCAGCTAAGCTTCCAAAGCTGCCTGCTTTTGGATTCAAGTTCCCTTCCTTGTGCCTGCCCCTCACCTCGCCGTGCTGGTGTACAGGCTGCTCTGAGCCTGGCTTACAGCAGCACTTGTTGTGGCTGTTGATTCATACTCCGCAAGAACAGGCTCTGAACCAAACTGCAATGCCCCAAACTGCAGGTTGAGTCCTGAGATATCTGCTGAGCCAGGCATTTCCACCGCAAGGGCAGGAATCTGCAAGGAAGGAACAGCAGGAAGGGCCAGTCAGCCTCTGGGATCAGCACAGAAAATGACTTTAGTATCCACATTTCCCAGCACACGATGGTAGTTCCAGGCTTGCATCATCTGTATGACACTGTTCAACCCAGGCAGGGAAGCTTTCTCCATCACCACCCCAAACTTCCTAACAAGAGGAAGGCCAAGCCCAGCCCCCATGGATTGTTCTGGATCTCTACCACAATCCAACATCTCCTTCCCCACCATCCACCTTTGATGTTAACGACGCCTTCTTCTTCTGCTGCTTCAGCTTCTGCTGAGCTGGCTGGGGGCTGGATGACTGGTTGTCCGAGGAGCCTGGGGACATCTGAGGGACAGGGTTGGCTTTGCTGGGCAGTGGGGAGGAGGAGGGTGCCGGCACGGTTGTGGAGGCAGTCACCACAGGCTGTTTCTCCTGCATGAACACTTCGATCATAGTTGAAGTGGAGGTGAAGGCCTGGCGCTTGGTGAAGGGACTATGCACGGAAGAGTCTGTTGGGTTCTTAAGATCTACCGGGGAGACAAGAGTGGAGTTAGTGAGGTTTGTTTCCTTGAAACCAAATCAACTTCTGACACTTCAGAGAATCAACCAGGTTGGAAAAGACGTTTCAGCTCACCCAGTCCAACCATGCCCAGCACTGCCAAGGCCACCACAAACCCCTGGCACTGAGGGCCTCAGCTACACAGTGTGTGAACCCCCCCAGGGATGGTGCCTCCAGCCCTGCCCTGGGCAGCCTGCTCCAATGCCTGAGCACCCTTTGGGGCAGGGATTGTTCTTCAGCTCCATCTAAACCTCCCCTGGAGCAGCTTGCTGCTGCTGCCTCTTGTCCTGTCGCTTGTACTATCACTAGGACAGGGCTTGAAGCAGAGCCATTTCCCTATAGCAAGAATCAAACACACAAACTGAAAGAAATGACCCTAGTACTGGCCCCTGGCAGGGCTCAGCATCTCATCTGAAAAGCAGGAGCCTCTCAATCACTGTTTATTCCCTCACACCAGCCCAGAGGTAGAGTTACTTCTTGGCACTGAGCAGTCACCAGAATTACATTCCTTTAAATGATACCAGTAGGTCAGCATCGAGATGCCACTGCCAAGTGGTGCTATTCAGGAGCTACTCCCCAGAGGTACCTGCTTTTAGACCTCTTCCCTGGGACCCAGCTTTATATCAGGAAGTAGGGAGGCTCTCGGGAATGCTAGATCCCTGGCTCTGAAGCTGGCTGGAATGACCATGAGGCAGGCAGACAGATTCAACTGCTCCAAGTATAAAAGGAACAGGGAAAGACTCACATGCACTACTGCATTTCACTCCCTCAGACTTGCACCCATGGTCCTTCTAATTTCCCCAGCACAGTTGACTTGGTTGTGAACTTGTGGATCTGGCCCTCACTGAATCCCTCACACTGCTCCCCTTCAGGGAGCCACACTGTTCCTTACCATACTGCACGAGAGACGAGGTCTGCGTGGTAGATGCCATGTCCCAGGAAGAAGCAGTGGTGCTGCCAGCAGGCTGGGTGTGTTGAGCAGCGAGCTGAGCCAGAGCCTGGGCTGTCTTGAACTGCTCGAGGAACTGCGAACCTGTGGTACTGCTGCCTTTGGCCTCCCCGACGTCTCCAAACCCTTTCCCCAGCATGCTCACCTGCAATTGCAGCACGGACATAACCAAGTCAGTGTCTCCCTGGGCCTGGAACTCGCTCAGAGGACAGATCCATCTCTGAACAGAGGCCTGGACACTCTGTACCCTGCTGCTGCCTACTGGTGCCTCAGCTTAACGCTCTAGGTGCGCACAGACACGGCTGGCAAGGAGAGCTCATACTTCTCTCGCAGCCCTTCTTGCATGGGAGGGCAGGTACACTTACCTGTCGCCCACATCATGATGTGTCACGGAGGCTTACAAAGGAAGGGCTCTTTAAAGATGTACTAAGCTATTCCCATGCATTCGGTGGCACTAAAGACAGCCACCAGGAGAGCTGGGCTTTACCACTGAGGTGCTTTTGAAAATCCTGCAGGAATTCTCATCAGTAAATGCACAATTGCTATTTCTTTTGATCGAGTTACACAAAGCAGCACGTGCACAGGCCTCTGCCCATTCCTGATGCACATTCCATGTCTCCTCCCTTCACCTCTGAGCAGAGGCCAGCGTTTCATCCCCCACCAAACTCCCAACCATTTCAGCTTCTCAAACTGCTGGAATTCGCAAGCCCTGGACTACGAGAGTTTCTCCTTTCCTCTGAGTGGCAAAGGATCCTGTGCTGCAAGGCTGAAAAGGACAACAGGGGAGGAACCATCCCAATTATTTCTAATGAAGCTATGGGCTTCATGCCTCTGTATTTAGGGAATACTGGCACATCAGCCAAGCAGTGAGCTGGTGTCAGAACTGCAAGTCCCGTGTTGCCCATACGCAGACAGAGCATGTCTGGGAAACCCATACATCCCTAAGGTACTTCCTTACCATGCTGTGGTGAGAGAAGGAGTTCCCAGAGGCAGGCTGGGATATAGCACTCTGCTTGGAATTGCTGAAAACCAGCGGCTGGGCCAGGGAAGGAGCCTGGGATGACTCCAGGTTTGGTGACTCGTTTTCCATAGAAGAGGGCGTCTTTCCTAGCAGGACTGCCAGATCGATTCTGGGGAAAGAAGGAAGATAACCCCCTGAGGTTAACACAAGCTGTCCCCCCCTGCACTTCCATTGCAGCAGTATTCCACCTTCAGCCTCCCAAGTTATGGTCTTCAAAACCTGAATGGATCTGCAGGACATAAACTCACTGCCAGTAGCAGCCTCAGAAGGACAGAGCGTAGGTAAACTCCAATCCAGGATTAAGACCCAGAAACTCCTAACTCAACTTTTCCATTTAAATCCATCTCATCTTATTCAGAGCTGCTGCATTTTAGCCAGCTGGCAAGGGTTAGTCTGAGATGGCAAATTGCTCTGGTCCTTGTGTGCCACATGAAGAGCATTGCCATGGGCTCTCACCTCTGTCCAGCTGTGATTGTCACATTCTCAGCAGGCAGAGGCACTGAAGACACATTGGAGGCAGTGAAGATCTTTGTCTCAGACAGCTGAAAGAAAAGGGGAAAAAGAATCCAAACATTGAGGACAGCGTCTTGGGGCTCCAAGTAAAGCAAAAAAAGCATTTGAACCACAGAAACAGTCAAGAAATCCAAGTGTTGAGACTTCAACTCTAACATTTGGCTCCCACCAAAAGCAGCTTCTATTTCGTTTGTTTTTTTTCAGGCAAGTGAAAAGAATCAGATCACCTGCCAGTGGGAAACACCCATTTCAGGAGAAACAGACACAGAGGCATTGAAAGCAGCTGAGAACAGTGTCTCTTCTCCTCTGCAAGAGAACAAGCAGCAGTGGGCCATATGAAGGAGCAAGCCAGGGTGCGGAACAAAGGCAAACCTTCCCCAACTGCCACTCCACTGGAGGAGCAGAACAAGAATCCTGTGTGGAGTCAGGCCAGCTTATGGAAGACATCAATCATTCAGCAGCAGGAACCGAGAGGACTAGACTTGATGCCCCAGCAGATCCCTTCCTGTCTTGGGCTCCTATGACAAGCTCTACTACGCACCTACTTTTGAAGCAGGCATGTTTACTTATTCATTGTAGCTCCTGAAACTGGGAGCCTGGCTTGGGCTATGCCCATAGTTTGGGGAGGATGGGCTTTGTGCTCCTCCCATAGCTGTGTGTACACGTCAGCAGACACATGGAGGAAAGGGGTCTGGGGTGTACCTACATCTTCATTCCAGTCCTCCGTGCCCCACTCTTCCGTCGCTGCCCTCCACGCACCTACAAGGGCAACAACAGGTAGAAGTTATGCACACAGCAAAGCTCTCCCTCCAAAAGGCAGGGAAGCACTGGGGAGCTTTGCAAGCAGCTGAGAGCATTTCTATTTGCCAACCAGACAACGTAAAGCAGTTGACCCCAACCCACAATTCATGGGCAAGGCACCGCGATGGCATCGCCTCTGCCTTGCTCGGGCTGAAAGAGGGGGACCCCTGGGCTGGCAGCTCAGGCAACACCCCCCCCCCCAAAACCAGAAGGGGAAGCTGAGCTTCACAAGGAAGCCCTGGCATCGTCCCCAACCTCCTCGTGCCATGTTCCTGAGTTCCCTTTGTACTGAGGTAGCTGCAAGTTTCTGCACCCATGAGCAGTTCGTGTTAGCCCAGCAGCTCAGACAGAGCATCTCCTTCACTGGTCCTTGGGAAGGACTCGTCACCCACTTAAACTTTGTGCTTCTATAAACCCCAGGGACAACCGAACCGTTCAAAGGGTCCATCTTCCCTCCCCCGCCCAGTGTTAAAACTTCACTGTGCCAGGACCTCCTGTGCACAGACAAATGGGAATCAGGAAGGAAAACCGAAGGGACTAAGCAATTCCCACGTTCTCTGACTGATTTCAGGGATCTGCTCCAAGTGAGTAGCTTAAAATATCAGGCAGAAAAGCAGATTTCAGCCACAATCCAGCCCAGCACAGTTCATAAGAGAGCAAAATTTACCAGGAAAACAAGTGATTGCCTGGCTGCATTTTCAACTTGTTCTGTCCCTCACTTCCATCACACTTTAACCTCAGTATTTGAATCTTATGTGGTGACTTCCAAATCTCTTAGATTATAAATTACAGTTTGGTCTGGGAGGAGGGCAAAGGAGCACGTGACATTCCAAACCACTCTGAGCATAAAACCAGCCCCGATTCGGGCAGCTTGGTTTTAGCCACTGAAACCAGCTCAACGAAACTCACCACCAGCAGCAGGGTTAATCCTGGAGACATTCCCAAGGACAGAACAAGTTGGCATCAAAACATAGCACGTGGGGCACCAGAACACTGCAGACACAGTCTGCCCTCACAGCAATAGTGACAAGGCTCCTTTACAGAAAGACCCTCCCAGCTCCACCCTTATCCAGGAGGTGAAGTGGGAGCTGGAGGTAGCTGGGTCGGCTGCAGAGGAGAGCAGGAAGCCAGGAGAATTGCCCCAAGAAGAGTCTGTGCATGCAGGAACATGGCACAGGGCTCTCTTAAGTCTTGCTTGCATGAGGTAAAGGAGAAAACCAGCAAAGCAGCAGGAAAAGCAGCAGGAAATCCTGCAGATGAAGAGCAGCCATTGATGGGGCTTTCCTGGCAAGTCTCTGGTTTGGGTACTGGACACCTATCCAGCACAAGCTTGTGCTCCTTGCACGCGAAGGGGCAGCTGGAAAACTGAAGACCTTCAATGTACCAGCATGTGCCAGAAATGCAGCATAGAGCTTCCTAAGCAGAACAGAGTGTTTAGGCTTTTAAAGACACTGAGTGTCTCTCTCTCTCCATCAAGCTCTTCCAAAGGGGAGGGCTGCAACACAAGCAACACCCTGATGCTTCTAACACCCCTTTGGAAGCGTCATCTTCTGAACTGCAACCCCTCCTCTCTGCTTTCAGAAAGCCCTTTAAAGAGCAGCTGGTCTGCAAGCTCCTCAAACCAGGAAAAGGGGGAAAAAGTCAAAAGTCCAAAGGCACTTGCAAATACGAATGTGCTGAAGAAAAGAAATCCCATTGTGGCTTCGTGATTCCCCCTCCCCCCCAGTCCATTGTCTCTTCATTGTAAACTGGGAGATGAGCAACCAGCTTGCTCCTCCCTGGGCCCATCGGGTGCTCTGCTGCTACCCCAGTGACTGGATACCTGTTCCATGCTCTGGCCTGAAGGGTGACAGAACCAAATCTCCCACTCTGCACCTCAAAGGAATGCAAATCCAAACAAAGGCAAAGCCTGGCAGAAGCACAATGGCAAGCACAGGAGCAGGTGGCCTTGTGCTGCCTGCTGGAGTTAAAGATTAACCCAGAGGTGAGAACCAGGGGATGCTCCAAAGCAACAGCAGCACTCCAAGTATGGCAGCCTCTGGGCCCCTGCAAAAGACTCTACAGCCTCAACACTCCTCCTCCTGTCCTGACATTCAAAAGCAAAGTGGCAAGTTCCTCCAGAAGGGCCCTCAGTCTCGAGTTCCAGGCCTCAGGCTTCATGGAGGAGACATTAGCCCAACGTGGGTTTGGCCTTCTTATGGACACTGATGGGATTTGGTGGGTGTGAGGCAAACCGGATCATCTCAAGGGTGTCTTTTGGCTTCATAAGGCATGAAAGGGGCCTAAAAGGATGCTGAAGAGGGACTCTTCCTCAGGGACTGCAGTGACAGGACAAGGGGTGATGGATTCAAACTTAAACAGGAGCAGTTCAGGTTAGATATAAGGAGGAACCATCCCTGTGAGGGTGATGAGGTACTGGAATGGGCTGCCCAAGGAAGTTATAAATGCTCCATCCCTGGCAGTGCTGAAGGCCAGGCTGGATGGAGTCTAGGGTGGCATGGTCTAGTGTGTGGTGTCCCTGCCCGTGGCAGGGGGTTGGAACTAGATGATCTTAAAGTCCTTTCAAACCCAAACCATTCTATGACTCTATAAAGGTGCAAGAGCAGGAAAGAAAGCAGACAGACACTGGGCAGCTTTGCCATCAAACATCCTCGTCACCTCAAAATCCACTGTCATCTTCAGGTGCAGGGCAGGGCTGCTTGGGGGCAGAACAGCAGCTGGGCAGCAAGAGCATGCCAAAGCAGCCAGCAAGCACATCGCTCCCCAGAGGCAGCCGGAAGCAGAGGCAAAGTGCTGAGACAGTTGCTTTAACCAGAGCAATTTCCCTTGCAGCAGGGTCTGACCCCAAGCAGAGGCATGGTGGGGAGGGCAGTGGAGTCATGGCTGCAGAACCAAATGGCATGGGGACAACAGCAAGCCATGGCTTTCTGAGTGTGAGACAAAGAGAACAGGGCTAAGCTGCCTCATGCCTCCTCCCCTCAGGTGGGATGCTCTGTCACCAGTGCTGTGGACACAGAGCTGCTCTGGGCACCGAGAAGCAGTGGCTGAAGTTAAAATGTACCTAAATCCCCCCCAAATTTGGGTTAACCTCTCCCAGTTTACATTCAAGGGGTCAGCATTAGTAGAAGCACAGTCAGAACAAACGTCAAATAGTCATTAAAATCAGCAAATGAAGAGAGAGAAGAATGACATATCCACAGATATTTGAGGTTTGGGTTTGAAACAAGCTATAAAAGAGAAGTATCCGGGGCAGTTGATGCACCTGGAGGTATCATACCAGGAGCAGTGTCAAATTTTCGGGGATAATTTGACCCCTCACCCCCAATGAAATCAAGTCCTGAAACAACAAAAAACAAATCAAGACAAAAAGACAGACAACGAGTGAAATGTTGACTCCCAGAAGGGCAGGGGAGTTTCACCGCCCGTGTGCACCGCTCACATCGTACCTGTGGATACTGGCACTGCCAAGAGCTGCCCGCAGCTATGGAAATGGACACTGCAAGAGCCCGCAGAGGGCAGCTGCATTGGAGAACTACAGCCAGTTGGAATTGTTCCATCAGAAGTTATCCCAAATCCCCCCAACCATGCTCTAATTCCATGATTCCACCGAGCACCAACACGCAAAACCAAGGCCAACCTCACAGAAGGCTGTTCAGACCAGTCCAACTTCCAGCATGTGGAGCTCATTCACTCCCACCCCTTCTTCTTCCAAACCTGAGTGCACCCATTGCCCTTGACTCATGCCTGCACTACTCCCTCTGGTACTTACAACTCCATTTACAGTATTATTTACAGGGTGCTGAGGTGCTGGCACCGGCTGCCCAAAGCAGTGGCGAATGCCCCATCCCTGACAGTGTTCAAAAGGCCAGGATGGACAGAGCCTTGGGTGACATGGGGTGTGAGGTGTCCCTGCCTGGGGCAGTGGGTTGGAATCGGATGAGCTTAAGGTCCTTTCCAATACAAACCAGGCTGGGATTCTGGCTCTTTCCAAAACTATCGGTTTTTCAGTAACTACAAGAAATATGGAAGTGGCCTAAAGCAACATGAATTCTATTGTGAAAGCCTCTTCTAATGAGTAAGTGCCATTTACTTGAATGCTCAAAACTCACGGAAAAACAGTCTGTGCAAGATTGCTCCAGAAAAAACCCCGAACAAACCCAAAACCTCCTCAACCCCCCAAGCAAACAGACGACTTACAATTAAGGCTTGCCCCTTGCGACTCTGTCCACCTACCACACTGCAAAACCTGAGTTCACTTGTGCCTTGCAACAGTGGGCACACTTGGAACAAGAAGAGAGTACCATTTTTCCAGGGCACGGGAATGTGCCAGGGCAGATCCGTGCTCACAAACTTCTTTGCTTCAAACAGGGAAGCAATGAAGATTTCTTTTCGACCAGCTTTCTGTAAGGTCTCATCCTCCAGCAGGCTGAGCAAGATGAGCATGAAAGAGAGGATGCTCCTGGTCCCGTAATTGGGAGCGAGACATCTGAACCCTGAGTAATGTTTTCTGGAGGATGCACAGAATACCAGGAGAACTTCCTGTCTTTACTACTCTACACTTTAACTCACACCAGAACAATCATCCAGCTCCCATATTCTAAAGGGGTCACCCTAACAGATGCAAAGGCACCTCTGGGTGCCAAGAAACAGCATCACTGAAATCCATCTCTGAACCAACAACCCATTTCTGTATCTCTGAGCCAAAGACCTACCCAGAACCTCCTCAGTGCAACTAGATGGACACAAAGTCCACTTACCACCTAACCACAAGCCAGTGTGTGAAGAGCACTTACTTGTGCCATCATCTGGCTCGAAGCTGCCCGTGTTGTTCCACGTGTTGCTGTTGCTGTAGCTCTCATCCGTGCCTGCCGGCTCAGCGTAGTCAGCCGGGTTGAAGGTTCTGTAAGGAGGAAGAGGATGGAAGATTTTACTCCCTCTCCCCAAGCAACTGATTTTATTCAGCCCATACCACATCTCCAAGTTCTCTCAGCAGAGGGCTGCTGCAGCTACACCAGCCATTCCACACTGAAGTTAGCATTCTGCAGTTTTGCCTTTATTAACAAAGGCAAATGCAACCACAACGGATGCCCAAAAACTTGCATCTTTGCTGTGCTTTGTACAGTGAAACTCACCCCATGCCTTGGGCAGAAAATCTTCCTCCTCGCCTTCCAGAGCCACCTGTAAAACACACACACACACTGCTGAGCATCTCCCTGGGCTCTGCATCACTGGGCAAAGCAGCAGTTGAACAACATCTGGAGTTCTGATGCCCACAGCATGCAAGTGCTGGGGATCTTCCCTAGGTGTTGAGGTTTCCAGCAGCATCTCTATATGTCTAAGGATGACCTCAGCTGCCTGGCAGTAGAATTAGTGATGCATGAGCTCAGGTTCAGATAAGGTTTCCAGCTGGCACAAACCACAAGCAGTGGCCCCCAGGTTGTGGTTTCTGCAGCATGTCCCCTCAGCAGTCCAGATTTGGTGGGAAAAAGAGTTTCTGCTACTGAGTATTTAAAACCCAAGCCAAGTGTTTGCAGAGGAAAGGTGCTCAGATACGTGTGCAAGAATGAGGAGGAGCCAGGTTCTAGTGCTTAACAAGCAACTGGCCCACCTGCCAAATAGCCACCTTCGGGTTTAGCTTCTCACTTCTACACAAAGTGGCACTATCTGTTTCTGACTCCACGGATGGGATGCAAGATGTACTGTTTCTAGCACACTTAAGATGGGGAAGTGACATGCAGGCTCAAAGTGTAACCAGAGAACAGCAAAATCAAGTACTTGTTTTCAGTTTGGCAACTGCTCCCATAAAAGAGCCTTTCAAACCTCACGGAGGAGATAGCCACACTGATGTAACTCTTCTCTCCCATCCCCTCAAATCCCATGTGTACCTCGGCCTCGGCCGCGTCCCCGCCTCCCTCTTTCCGTGCCTCTTCCAGAAGATCCTCCACTCTTACCACCGTCTAGTCCATTCTCCTGGCCCCGAACTGAAAGACAGAACAATGCAAAGAATGTCAAGATTTCGGGAGGATACAAGACCAGACCAAAGCTCCCATCACTTCTATTATTTAAGCTGATGGTATTGGGAGTATCACCCAAGGAATCATCTCAGTCAGAGAAGCATTAGACAGCTCATCACACACGTAAGGGCGGTTTTCCTCAGAGATGAGTCTGTCCAAGCAGCTTTCATGTAGCACAAAGTGCCTCTAGATGATCCTTAAGGTGCCTTCCAGTGTGACACTTAGGGGTGTTAGGAAAGGGCAGGTCCATACACTCTCTTCCACGGCTGGCACCGCGGCCCCGCCTCGGCGGCCCACCACGTCGTCTGCTGAAATCCCGCTCCCTCTCCCGGTTCTCTTTGCTTTCTTCACTGGGTTCTGTCTGGCCACTCTCCTTCTGTCCCGAGACACCCTTCTTCTTCCCGACCATCTCCCAGGAATGCTGAAGGTTTGCAGAGGGGAAAGAAGTTAATCACAGTTTGATCGATGCAAGAAGCCAGTCACAGTTTGAGCGATGCAGTACGTGAATTCACATGTATTCACACACATGTATTGGAACATGCTACAGATGTAACAAGGATCTCCAGAGAAATGCTTTCCAGCCCAGTTTCTATTTGTTTTGAAGAGTCTAACAGCCTACACACAGTACAGCTTCCTCCTTCAAGGAAAGCTTTCTTACAGCTGACTGCCACGCAGCCTGAGGTAGCAGCACATGAGTTACTCTCTTTCTGCAAAGATTTAGTAAACCTCTTAAAGCGGGCCTAATACTTACTCGACATGAGAGCATGGATAAACTCACCCTTTTTAGGTGAAAAAATCCTGCCATTTCACGTAGGTCACTGTTCTGGGGAGCTCTCAGAATAACCCAGGTAAATGTTCCAAAGTGCTCTGCAATCAGCAAGCAACCTGCTCTAGTGGAAGGTGTCCCTACCCATGAGAGGGGCTTGGAACTGGATGATCCTTAAGGTCCCTTACAACCCAAACCAGTAAGGTAAGGTATTCTCTCAGATGCAGAGTGATTTAACAAAACCCCTCCCCTAAACAGCAGCTCCCAGTGAGGGGAGCGTCAGAATTTATCCAACAGGCAAGTTCAAGCCATCCCAAGTTAAGCACGCCTCTAGCTTACTGCTGTGGGCCTGCATCAGTTCATTTTATGACAGCCTGCAGTGGTTTCACACTCAAACTGATGCTGCACACTGTTAGAACAATTAAAACCAGTCACAAGTCATTGATAAACACCTGACAACAAAACTGGCAGACAAGGTCACAGCTGGTTTTGCACTGGCAACATGCAGGGGCAGTGACAAAAGAACACCACCAGAGGCACAAAATGCCTTCAAATCCAGAGCTTCTGAAGTCTCTCTCCATAGCTATCTGGAGCAGAAGGAAATTTAGGAGAATATTTAGCTTGAATACTGTAATTTCAAGCCAAATCTAACCCTTTCCTGTTCCAAACATGGTCCATTCTGAGCGAGTGGCTCAGCAGGTGAGCTGTCTTCATCAGCACAGGAGTACATGAGCAATCAGCAAGTCTGGTTCTTAGCAGAAAACCCCCTTTAGAGGATTGCTGCACAAGCTGAATCCAGGCCAGAAGCAGGTCCCAGACCTTTGACCAATTCCAGTGCAGACGTGGGTAGCAGCCTGCAGGCCCCCATGGTACTGCAGGCTGGAGAAGGGGCAGCACTCGAGGGCTTTGCTCTGCCAACTCTGTTCCTATCTCTACAAATCTGCAGTAGCCATGCCTTGCCCTGCATCTCTCACACTGCTCCGAGACAGGAGATGCTGCTACATAACAGGGTTTGCTGCACACTATCCTGGATGCTGTTTTCATGTCTGTCTAGGAAATTAACTTGCTGAGATAGAAGGGGTTTGTCACAGGGGATGTGGAGCAGAGCTTTGCCTCAGCAGTGCTCATTCAGATCATCCCCCTTTCTAAAGGGATTTTCCAACAGCTGTTTTGTTCAGTTGCCAATGGAAAGGGCTCTGAAGGGAAGGAAGAACACTTCCACGCATGGTACTCAACTTGCCTGGTGCCAAAGCTATCAAAGCACCTGGCACTGGGGAGCAGCTCCATTTAGAGCCTCAACTCCACAAAGACTTGAGTTGGCTTCAGCCAAACCAGGGTGCTGGAGCTGCTGTTTGATCAGCACCAGTTTGGAAGGAGCTGGTATTCGTAGGCTTTTACTGGGCTGGAACAGAACTTGCATCTCTGCTGCCTCTGTCACCAAATGAACGACATCCCACACACCAGGCAGAAGGTTCCTCCTAAGCAAGCGCTTACTTGCTCTCTGAGTGGACTTTGCCTTGCCTGAGACAGGCACCTGTGTGAGTGACAGCAGTGGGACTCCAGAGAAAGCAAACAGCAAGACCACCCTCAAGAAGGTGGCATGGGCAGCAGCACACGAGCCTGCCAGCGCACGGCTGAGAAGAGAACGTCTAGGGCCAGAGACATAAAACAGCACTGCTATAACAGAAAGGAACCCCAGGTGATGTACCTGCCTTTCAACACAGGTCACAGCCCTCGTGGGAAAAGGTAAGTTACTTCACACTCACAGCAGCATGAAAACTTACACAGATGCTGCTGTACTGTTGTCAAAGTGCTTGGACTGAAAAAGAACAGGATTTATTGCACTTTCCCCTCCACTCCTTTGGGCCTCTTGCCACGCTCGTGTTCTGTGCGAGCCTACAGAGCAGCACTGAGAAGCCAGTACACAGTCACACTTCACATGCTACTTGTGGAACTAGTCAGTCATTCTGGCTCTTGTTATCTAGACAGGACTGTTTGCCTTGCCTCCAAATATGCAGTTACACTGAACTAGGCCTCACCAGACTTACAGGACCCAATCCTACCGTGTCCGGATTGCCTTCCAGCAGCACGTTGATGGCTCTGTTAACATCTCCATTGCAGTCATGCAGAGCAATCACACACTCGTCCTGGTTCTTGCCTGTGATGTCAATCAGCTGTAGAGGAGACAACACCATGGTCAGCATGTTCCAAACCAAGAAGGCACCAAAGTTTCTATGGATCTCCTATAGATCCCAAACCAGAAATCCTCCAAAGAAGTGTCAGCGGTTGGGAGTCTCCTGCAGCCTTCACAACTGAATTACGTCCCCTTAATAAGAAGTAACCGAGAGAGGAACTTCTGAGTTGCCACAACCTGCTTCCAACCTCCTCCTTTTCTCCAGATAACACCATTCCCTGCATTCAGTGGAAGAACCCTGCCCAAGGAAATTCAGAGAGCAGCCAGCTGCGTCCCTCTCAGCCCCCCAGGCAGTCACTGTAGTTGACATCGATCCTGCCAGGGTTCATCCTCACTTTCCACACTCACTTGTTTCACCTTCTCCTCAAAGTCAGCATCGTTGTGGTCTGAAATCATCTGTGCAAGTCGAATCTGTTCCGCAGTGGCCTGAAGAAACAGAATGCAGAGAGACAGCAGGGTTAGAGCAGCACCTTTCCAACTACCCTTCCTCCCAAGGCCATTCCGCTCCCCTCAGGTCTCTGGGAAGGAATCAGTGTGATGAAGAGGAGGCGTGAGCAAGTGTCAGAAAGAGGAAAGCTTCAGAGAGAAAGAGCGATGGAAGAGGAGTGAGTGAGGAGAGTCCAGAAGAAAGGGACTCACCAGGAGAGGGACAACCACCTAAACTGCATTCTGAGGCAGACCTGAGCACCACCAGACCCACCACCATCAAGACCCACTGCAGGTGGCTTCTCAGCCACTTGCATTCATTCAAGAGAACAGGGAATGGCCAAATGGAAACGACCCCAACTCTCAGCTCAGAGACACCAGCGTGGAAACCCCACCACCAGTGGCTGCCCAGGTAACCCGGCTCTGGAGCAGCCCCCTGCAGCACGCAGGACCCAGGCAGGGGGCCAGGTCTCCACGGCTGCTGCCCTTACCTGTGGCCGCTGCTTGTGCTGTGTCTGGCTCTGTGTCTGTGTCTGCTCCCAGTTCCCCCGGGCTCGGTTAGTGCCCACCGATGTCATCATTTACAGTATATACAAATAACAGTATTTACAAGGTAGAACTCTGTGGTGGGGCAGGGGAGAAGAGAGAACACACTGTTAGAAACTAAACCCAAAAGGCAGCACCAAGACTGAACCACGGCGTGGGCGAGGCAGACAGCGAAGCCACCCCAGTGCCCTCCCTCCCTCCCTCCCCACCAGCCACAGCCTCCCATTGCCATGTACCCCAAGACACTACTGCCTCTTCTGGAGTTTCTCCACCGCCACCACCTCACCTGCACTCAGGGGAGAGCGATTGGGACCCAGGAGCAGAAGTCAAGGGAAAGGGTTTAACAACTTGCTGCTAGAACACAAGTGTGTGAGCAGGCACGGCCTGGCCGTGACCAGGGTGCAAGATGCTCACTGGTCAACTGGAGCAAGGAATGCTTGAGAAAAGCTCTAAAGAAGCTTCACGTAGAGAACAGAACATCTCAGAGCCTCAGACACATCATCAGCTACTTCCCCTTCTCCTTTCTTGCCTTCAAAGCAGGGCAGGGGAAGAAAAGCACTCCCGTAGTAAGTGGTGCTATAGGTTTGTGGGATGTTGGTTTAGAGAAATACCACACTTGTCGAACTGCCTGGTTGTGCTCGCTCCAGTTATTCCTCAGAAGCTGAAATATCAAGTTTCCTTCTACTGAGCATTCTAGATTAAAACAAAACACTACCAGAACAGTGAGCTAGATGTCAACAAGGAACATCAGCCAGTAACACTGCCCAGAACCGCTTGAAGAGGAACATGCCAGGAGGAGTTCAGGAACGGGGTGTCCAAAGCTCCTGGAGTTTTGTAACCGCTCGCTGGGCTTCGCAGGAAGAGCCCAACCCAGGTGCTGAGAATGGGATCAGCACTGAGCACTTTCACCCTGCCTGCCATGGCACAGGGGATGCCACGCACATCCCATGGCACGTGGCATCACGGGCTACTTCCAAGCCCCCGAAACCTCAATAATCACAAACTCCACGCTTCTGGATTCTGTTAACGAGATGGCGACACCTTCCTCCAAAGCAGCAGGATCTGTTCCACGTGCTGGTGCTGCAGCAGATGCTTGGGATGAGGGAAGGAGCCACAGAGAGAGTAAGAACAGGAGGAAACCCGAGTGAGAAACTCCAACCTGAAGCGTTGCTTGCGAACACCCACATGGCAGCACAGAGCAAGACCCGTCGTGCAAAGCTCAGCAGCGTTAGCAAACAGCCCAGGAAGAACTGGGGAGTCTCTTGTCAAAGTCCATGAGAGGAGCACTCCACTAGGCTGGGAGATCCCTTCCCGAGAGCACAGAGACCCTACTGTCACCTCCGCACCGCGGCTTGCTGCCCACGCCACTGCTCCTGCTCCCAGCAGCCTCTAGCCTTCCTCTTCAGGCAAGCTTTCAAGGCCAATTGCTCCTGCAGCTTCCCACAGAAGCTCAAACGTTCCTCTTCAGGGCCAGCCATGCCTCACAGAACTGAAAACCACTGTCTGCCAGCTCTACAGCACCAAGGTTTCTGACCGGGGAAGCAACCCAAGCTGCCAGCCTGGTGAGCAGGAGCCACGGGTAACACCAAGCAGGGTTAAGGAAGAGCATCCAGCCCGGGCTTCACCCAAGGCCGAGCAGCCTCCACGCAGGCTTCTTCCCCACGGGATTTCTTTCCACTCTCCACTGCTACGTCTCTTCCAGTTCTAAGTGTTTCAGGCACAAACAAGTTGTCATATTAAACCAATTTGGCAGCAGAACTGCAGGCCCAGAGGGAAGCAATCCTCTGCCGTTGCAGTAACTTAATCTGGGATTTCAATAGGATACAGCCCCAGCAGTCTGCTGCCCCCAACCTTTGTGCAGCGCCTGGGCATTGTTCAAGAGCTCTGCCATGCTCTGCCCAGCTGCATTCCTGGCACGAGGAAACGGTGCTTATTTGACGTGCAGAAGAAAAACCCACCCCAAAAACCACCAGAAGACACCCCACGCCGCATCCAGGGTGCACTCGGGTAACTGCAGGCCAGCTCGTGGGCAAAACCTTGCACTGCAAACCTTGGTTGTGCTGCCACCTGCCCTGGCCCCGCACCGAAGGAACGCTCCCGTGAGTTTTCCAGTTCCAAGCAGCCTTCGGTGTTTGACCTTGCTTTTAAAGAGCAAAGCCACATCTCTGCACCAAGAGGGAGGCAAGCAAAAAAGGCAGCTCCAGCCCCAGCAAACCACGGCTGAGCCACACCAGAGAAACAGCGTCAAACCGGCCCCGCGCTTACGTTTCAAGGCAAGAGGAAAGCGGTGCGTTCCTACGGGATACAGGGAAAACAAGAAGCTTCCCAGCTACAGGTTACAACATCTTTTCTTCCAAGAAGCTGCAGGGAAACGTGCCGCGCTTTGCCGTTACCCCTCTTCCTTTTCAGCCTACAGCATCCAAAAAGGAGAGTCTCAGCTACTCACAACAGGAGGCTCCGGAAAAAGAGGTGATACAAAAACGTAGCAAACTGTTCATTTTATTAGAAACTTCAGTTAAGTTACAGCTTTAGCACAAGGATCTGGTGGTCACATCCACTACCCCCAGCTGGCTCATCCCTGATGGCTCATGCTGGGAGAGCCCCAGCACATCCCAGCCTCAGTTTCCCTTCTCTGTTCACATAATCGGTACATCCAGCCCCCTCTGACAAAGCTTCGTGAACACATGCAAACAGCTCTGAAGCTCCAAAGGAAAGGACCACAGAGGGCAAAGCAGTTGGAAAGATTTTCCTGCAACACGGGGCAGGACCAGCACCCAAAGGAGCCCAACACACGACGGGGGGGATGGTGTTTTATCAGCATTGTGAACTTTCCTCCGGAGCAAACCCATTGCAGCTGCAAACCCAGCAAGCCCCGTGTGTGCAGAGGGCGAGATGCCGGGGGGATGCCCCAGCTACGCCACCAGAGACCCCCGGTGGGTACCGCCGTGCACCGCTTCCCTGGGGACACCCACCGGAGCGCCCCGAACCGGCCCAGGACCCCGCGCTGGGG